AGTCAGAAGATTCTGAATTTTTTTCAGCGTCACATTGACACATTCAAAAGTGAATAATCTTGTTATCGATCAGAACGTTACCATCATCATTTCATTACGGACTGAGTTTGATCCTGTCTCTTATAGGTCACATAAGCCATAGGAATCTGAAACGTCAACTCCTCTAATTTATGTTCATAATTGAAATCATGGATTCATCAAAGCTAGATTGCCATTAGAAACCTTGAAGCACTAGACAGCTGTTTCGTCCTAACGTGATACTCATCAGTGGTGCACATCCATGACCCTCTCATATGTGAACGCTTAACCTCTAGACCACTTAGTTAGTAACCAATGGTGTTAACGTCTAACAACATCAATTAATCTATGATGTTGCTCAGCTTCCACCTATTGTATACAGATACGTACTGCTGACAAGTCCAATATTAGGACGAAACAGCTATCGAATGCTTCCAAGTTTCTAATGGTAGTCTAGCATAGATTCATTCGTGTTTTCAGCTATGAAAATAATACACTCTGTACAAATCCTGTTCAGTAAAACACAATATATGTGATTGATTAAAAGATATTCATGACACTTCTGTTCCTTCTTCTTGATAAAAGATTTCATTCGACTGCTGTTTTCACATCCTGTATTTGTCTAGCATTTTCTCACCTCTTTTTAGTCTATATTCTTCACTATCTAATTATTTACTCACACTTCTTATTACGTAATGTTTTGTGATGATTATTTATGATCCTAATTCTACCTACTACTACTACTGTGGTGCGAGCTACTTATAAGTAGTATATGACGTGAGTGTCAACGTAATGTCTGGCAGCAGAAGATGGAGGAAGATCAAGAAAGGAAGAGCTAGAATACAATGGAATTTGTATGAAACGCATGAATAGTGAGTGACAATGGATTGATGTTTTGCAACAGGAACAGTCCAGTTCGATATGATGGACTGATATTTTGCAAATTTACGGTATGGTTTTCCGATTTTACTGAGTAACTGTGTAATTTTCGTTAAATACAATTCGGTTGCCACACCTGTGTTCTCGTTCACTACACTGCTGCTACTACCCCCAATGTCAAACTATTGACAAAATAACTTTTGTGTTATCGTATTTTATTATTCTTATTACACCTCTGTCTTCCTATTATCCAACTTGTACTTTTACCTAGTTATGTGTAGTGACGTAATCTCTTTCATCGTGATTATTGACTGCTTTGATTGGCTTGGCATTTTTAATAGTAATATTCATGTTTATTAGAGAGTAAAGCCTGATGACAACTGAATTGAAAACAATATTGTTCGCAATATATATATGTCGTTCTAATTATCAGATTTGTGGATTGACTGAAACAAGAAATATAACCTAATCGATCCCAACTCAATGGTCTAAAAGTTTAGCATTCATTGTAAGAACTAGATGCTTTTAGATTTAGTCTTGAATCGGGTTGAAATAGATGCTCTTAGGTTGAGTCAAATCATTGCTAAAATGTAAAACTGAATCAGTAACAATCAATGATCATTGAACATACATAGTCAATATTACAAATTTGAAAGCTTTTGATAAATTGATTTATTAAAAAAATATGAAGTTAGTTTAACAAAGAAAATTTACTGTTCCATGATATTGTCATCTCGAACTGTAAAACAATTTTTTTAACGATCGATTTATTCCATGTAATCATTAAACAAAGCTATCATCTTCCAATTGGATGCCAGGCCCTGTGGTCCAGAGGTTAGGTGTTGTTCGCATGCAAGACCGAAGGTCCCGGTTTCAAATCCTGCCAGGTGCAGGAGTCGTAGATGCGCACTGCCACTGATGAGTCCCATACCAAGACGAAACGACCGTGCTATACTTCCGCGTTTCTAATGGTACTCTAACAATGATTGATTGATGATTTCAAATGTGTGAAAACAGTTATCATCACCAACGACCTATTCTGACCGAGAGAAAAAAAAGAACTTACAACTGAAGAGAAAATTTCGATAAATAATGGAGGTGGATGGGAAACGCATTGCAGAAACCACCAGAGTGCATTCAAAAATCAAGACCTAATCCAGAATCCTCAAAGCGGAAGGAAAACCAAAAAAAAAAAACCAAAGAACACAATGCTTCAAGAAGTGGAGACAGACATCGAGAGAATGAATAGCACTTGGGAACAGCCTAGAACAGGATCGGTTGTAGGGCGGTGCTCAGCGGCGACCTATGTTCAATGGGATGAATGTAACAAGCATAAGTCTGCTATAAAATAGAAGAATGTTATATCATTCGACGAAAATATTACATTGAATGAAAAATTCTATAAGAATGTAGTATGTATTGTGATGGCATTATTTAGTGAAGTAATCAAAAATTTTCAAGGAATCGAATTACGTAATAATGATGCCTTGAACCTGATAAGTCATTTAGAAAACAATAGTCATTGTGTGATAACAAACTGACTACAATCAGTCATGTGTTCAAGCAATAATTCGTTAATCCATTTTGTAAATATCCCCCTTTTTAGATGAGATCACATCACATCAAAACAACTATCAACCAACATCAAAGTCACAATTTTCAAAACATATGTTAAGACAGTTCTACTGTATGGAGCGGAAACTTGGAGAACTACCAAACCCATCATACAGAAGATACAAGTGTTTATTAACAGCTGTCTACGCAAAATACTTCGTATTCGTTGGCCAGACACCATCAGCAACAACGAACTGTGGGAGAGAACAAGTCAGATTCCAGTGGAGGACGAAATCAGGAAGAAGCGGTGGAAGTGGATAGGAAACACACTACGAAAAGCACCTAACTGCGTCACAAGACAATCCCTCACATGGAACCCTCAAGGTGAAAGGAAAAGAGGAAGGCCAAAGAATATATTACGCCGAGAAATAGAGAAAGATATGAGAAGAATGAACAAACATTGGACAGAACTGGAGAGGAGAGCCCAGGACAGAGTTGGTTGGAGAAAACTGGTGGGCGGCCTATGATCCATTGTGGGTAACAGGCGTAAGTAAGTAAGTGCATCACTGATATAAAGTGAACTGTATAAGTCCATCTAAATCAGGCTAAAGTTTGTGTTACGCAAAAGATGTTTATCATGTTGTATAGAGACAAGAAAATATACAAACATTATTATTATTACTATTATTATTTAGACTGATAAAAGATCGATTAGGTATTACACACTGACTGACTATGAGACTTATCAGAATCGAATACAAGAACTTCGCCCACGCTTAATGTTATGTTCGTCAATTGGTACGCTTGAAGCTATTACGAGTTCATATTAGTCGATAAACACGAACGAGACAATTACCAGCGTCCAGGTAGGCTACCTTAAATCCCAAGCTGTAAAACAGAAGACTTGGTAAGCGTAGAAAGTATATTCTACAAACACCCAGCAATCACAATACAATCAAGCACACAAATCTCGTTTATTTATACATCATAGAAACGTCCTTGGGACAGTTACGAAAATAGCACACTAAAATACACAGCAGCCAATCACAGACAAGGATTTTCCTGGTGGGAAATGAAATCTCACAGTCAACTGATCAGCCCATGCTCGCAAACGTGGAATCCAAAATAAGGCGTTTTTATCAAGCGAGTTCTGGAGATCTAACATCCCCGACACTTAACCTCGAGACCAGTGAGGTGAACCAGTGGAGTTCAACCCTATCCGAGTGTAAGCAATTATCTACCGAAGACAATGGGTGAATGCTGAGTAACATTATCGATTAATTTAAGTTAGACATTAACATTGTAGGATGCCAACTCAGTGGTCTCGAGATTAAGTGTTCGAGCATACGATGGTTGTGGATACGCACTGTTGATGAGTACCATGTTAGAACGAAACAGCCGTACATCGCTTCCAGGTTTCTAATGGTAGTCTAGCTTACATTAACCATGAATATAAAATGAGATTGAAGGTTAAGATTCCTAGAGCTTCTGTTACATTTAAGAGATAGGGTCGAACTCCGTTGAGAAACAATTATGGTAAAGGCTAATGACACCAGAATCGCGCACGAACACTTAACCTCTAGACCATTGAGCCAACATACAACGGTGTTATTGTTCATCTCTAATCAATCTAAGGATTTTGCGCAACCTCACCCATTATTTTCGGTAGGTAACTAACTGCCTACACTGCTGATACGGCTGAACTCCCCTGATGGTTACAAGGTCTGACTAGAACTGGAAGAATTTGCTCGCAAACCTAGTCACTAGTGAACACATTTCATTTGTTTTCCTTCAAAAAAACAAACAAACATCAAAACACCACCTGAAAGCACTGGATGGCCGTTTCGTCCTGGTATGGGACTCCTCAGCAATGCGTATCCACGACTCCTGCACCCCGCAGTATTCGGACCCAGGACCTTCGGTAATGTAGGCGAACGCCTAACTATCGGACCACTGAGCCGGTATCTAGCGGTGTTTACGTCTAACTTAAAAATCTTCACAACCCCATAATGCAAATTACCTGTGCTCACTAGTAACTAGCTTCGTGAGGAAGACGTGACCAGTGAAGTTCAACCTGTTCGAGTGTAGACGGTAACTACCGAAGACTGTGTATGAGATTGCGCGACTCCGTGAATTGATCAAGTTAGACATTAACACCGTTAGATACCTGCTCAGTGGTCCGATGGTTAGGCATTCGCCTACGATACCGAAGCTCCTGGGTTCGAGTGCTGCGGGGTGCAGGAGTCGTGAATGCGCACTGCTAAGGAGTCCCATACCAGGACGAAATGGCCGTCTTTTAGTGCTTCCAGGTTTCTTCTAATGGTGGTCTAACATTGATCGATTCATGGTTTCAAAAAATGTGTAACTTAACAATCTTCACAACAACCCCGTAATGCAAAACATTATCTACCAAACATTTAATCACTTCAATAAATCCATTGAACATGATCAACTAATTCAAACAATCATTCAATCAATCAATAACATGGTATAACATTGATGATTATCACTCAATGATTACATGTTTATTATTAATCACAATAAATTCATTGAAATCAAAGTGTTATTTAATAAAAAGCCAGTTCAACAGTAAAGAACATGAACATCTTAATAAATACACTGCATATCTCAATAGTAGTACTAGTAGTACTACATATTCAATTAGTAGTATACATTACATGTATATGGCATCCATCAAATCGTATCAATCACAATGGTTATGAACATCAATTCAATACACATTATATAAATCGTAATTATGAGAATAATGACAATAATAATAATAATAATAATAATAATAATAATAATAATCGTAATAATAATGACCAACCATTAATGAAAGAAATTAAATCTGTCAAATATCATGGCCATACATATACACAAGTATTACATTTGAAATTATCATTTCATGAAGCTGAACGTTATTGTAATCAAGCATTTACAAATGATGCACATTTAGTGTCGATACAATCCGATGATGAATGGGTAAGTTGATCATCATCATGTGAAATAATTTAATTTTATGATATTTCCAAATTATAAATATAACGTTCTGTAACCACTGATGTGATTGATTGATTGATCACTGAGTGAATAGCTAGCTAAATGGTATTAGGAAGTTTTAGAGGTCAATTAGGAGAGTGTTTGTAAAATGTAGGAGACCAACATTTCTAACAATTGAAGGACATGTGGAGGTCAAAATTTTCAACACAAAATGTTAAGACAGTTCGACTGAATGAGGAGGAAAGTTGGAGAATTATGAAAAGCATCAACCTGAAGATATAAGTGTTGATCAACAGCTGTCAACACAAATTACTTCAGATCCGTTGACCAGACACCGTCGACAATAATCTACTGTTGGAGAGAACAAATCAGATTTCAGCGGATGATGAAATCAGGAAGAAACGCTGGAAGTGGATAGGAAATCACCTAACTGCATTACAAGACTAGCCCTCACTGACCTGGGATCCTCAAGGTCAAAGGAAGGCCAAAAACATATTACGCGGAGAAATGGAGACAGATACGAGAAGAATGAACAACAGTTGGACAGAACTAGGGAGGATGGCCCAGGATAGAGTAGGTTACAAAATGTTGGTCCGTGGTCTATGCTCCACTAAGAGTAACAGGCATAGGTAAGTAAGTAAGTAAGTAAGTAGGTAAGTAAGGATAGTGTGATTCGTTTTATTTTACTGTTTTCTGTTGTGGTTCATTGTTAAGCACAAGGTTATAGGCTAGTGGAACTTGGGCAAACTCTAACATTTCACTTACTATTTATAAGTTAGATTATGATCTGGTCTGTAGTAGATTACTGGGACGCAATTAGTTTATACAAGACAACTATTTAAAGTAGTAAATGACTTTCGTAGGCTACTAGTCTTCGATCATAGGTGTATCCGAAACATCTGCTCGTGTATCATGGAACAACCGTATAAGCAATGTTGTCGTTAAGAAACGAGTTCTAGATAGGGATGGCAAATCAATAGGTGAAGTAGTAAATCTTCATGAGTTGAGATGGTTGGGACATGTATTACGTATGCCTAACCACCGACTGACTCGAAGAGCTATGTTTTGCAGTGTAGGAGTAGGTTGGAAGAAAGCTATGGGCGGCCAAACCCAAAACATGACACAAATGCATGAAGTCACTGACAAGTGGACTGAGTCATGTGGGTAGATGTAGGCTATCTGGTTGGGGTCGGCGAGACGATAGTCACCGATGGTTAGAGACCTTGAACGACATGACTCAGAATCGTTTGCAATGGCTCAGGTGCATCCACTCTTTGTGTTCTCTCTAATTCTAACCTTCTGAATTCCTCATCATCTCTATCTTTCTCCTTCTATATTTATCACACTGAATTATACTTTTCAAATCATATCTCCGCTCCCTAATCTTCTCCATTACTGCTAATACTTCCACCACTATCGCTATCACTCTTGGATTTGAACTGACACTTGCGTCTGTGTGTGCTAATGTTGTATGGCAACCTGAACTGATGTACTTACGTACGAAGTTCTGTGTTGTGTCTGTCTGTCTTTTAAAGTTAATTTGGAACAACACACACTTTTTGAAACTTCACTATTGTCTTTTTTAAATTATCAATAGAAAATGCTATCCAAGTGTTTTGGACAGGCTGGTTCAACTAAAATATGGTTAGGTGGGACAGCAGATCTAATCAATCGTAATTATGTTATTTTACGATGGTTCGATGAAACCGATTTTAAATACCTTCGATTCTCAGACAAGGAAAAAGAACACTGGCAAAAAATGCTAAGGAATCATCAAGGATGTATTGTTGGCACTTTGAAAAACAATGGCCAAGGTGATTGGAACATTCAAACTATGTTATGCAATGAACCGAAAGAGTTTATCTGTGAAGAAATCGATCCCGACTTTCCAAAGAAACCATGGGATAATGAAAAGCCAAGACCATATGGTTACATACCTTCAGAAACACCGTTTCAACATCCATTGAAAATCCCGCAATTTGGAATTCTTCCATTGCATCAAGAAATGTATCAACCAAAAATACCAGTAGGTCCGAAAAATTTATTTATTGCTCCTGCATCGTTGGAAGAGACAGCTGAACAACAACCAATAGTAGAAAACACAGAACAACAACAAGTACACCCAAGTACACCGCCGGTTCAACAAAAAACCAATCACACTGCGGTGATACGCAACACTAGTAGTAGTAGTAGTAGTAGTAGTGAACGCAAACATGACATTGTACGAACAACCAAGAAAGCGAATAACATGACCGAGATACCAGCAAGTACCATAAACGCAATCCCAAATAGGAAAGTGAAATTTGTTATTATCAAACCGACTGATGAGAAAACACGAACTGAAGAAAATAATAGTCATAATAATAATAATAATAATATTAATAATATTAATAATAATAATGATATGAAACCAGTTAATCCTGTAGATCAAAGCTCAGAAAATCAATCTGGACCAGTGACAATTTACCTACAAGGTGTTTCTGTCCCGAATAACTAATTTGAAACAGAAAGGCTCAATAATAATAATCATAATAATATTCCCCCCTACTTTAAAACAATTTCATCAATTGACTGTTTGTCATTCATTTTAAACTGTCTGGTTATAAATAAGATTGTTGAATAAAGATTTTCACTTTGTTTATTTGTTGAAGTGAAAAATTTACGGGCGATAGTTAGCATTGGAATCCGGTAAGCGTGTTTCGTCCTGCATTGGGACTTGTCGGCCGAATTTACCTACAACCTAGAGTTAATGTTCATCACTCCAGGACTGGAACCCACCAACTGTTCGCTTCAGATGCCATCACGTTATCGATTTCGGTGACAGAGTTTGACAAACAGTTCATGATGGAAGTCAAACAGTCATTTTTGTTGATAAGATAATCTATCTTGAAAAAAAAAGAGTAAGACTAAATGTCTAGTACACAGTGCAAAAACCCATAGAAAAGTCAGTACTGTTTCGTGTATCCGACTCCATACTTAAACACTTTGCTGGATAACTTAAGATCAACCAGTGAAGGGAGAATTTCCAAGTCCCAATCAATAGCAAACAACTTAGTGCTTTAAATAAATCAAACTAAAAAAGTAGTTTCCATCAATCTTATGCTCGTCTCTGTGAAACAAATGAAGTTTGACTGACTCGAAAATAAACAAAACTGAATAAAATCTAAACAGGTTTAGTCAACTATCATAAACTACTATTAAACAGTCGCTTACAGTACTGCTAACCGCTCCAGTATGATCATTAAGGATAATTGAACCAGTTCTTCTTCCTATTGACTGTTATCTGTCATGAAAACCTTATTTTCTTTAAATAGTGTCTACCGATTTAAAATAATTGTGAACAGTGTTCTACCGATAATGAAGGCACCAGTTTTTAGTCTACCAAAGGGTTATACTCACTAACTAATGGATAGGCACTGGAAGTGAATTGTTTTATACAAACATATATTTGAAAACAAGACTGTCGTTCACTGAAGAGATTTCTTTTTGCAGTAATCTCGTTCTTAGAGCTGTGTAAACCAATGGCAATTAACTGAACATAACAGTAAAAATCAATAAGCGTACGAGCTTTTTCTCATCATATCTAGAAGTTGAATAAAAATGAAACATGATTCTCATGGACATTAGGTAGAGAATTATGACTATGGAGTTTTTGTTGAGTGATGTCATAAATCACGCGTTAGGGGGTTGCAGTGTGTGTGTGTAATCGAGAAGAGCACGGCAATAAGGTAAAATTCGATCGAGTTAAGAGTTCAACAGTGTAGTACAAAAAAATATGGTTTGTAAAATGCTAAATCTAACAGGCGAAGTAATTTATAGTGTGTAACTAATATATAGAGCCTACAAGGCTTGTGTCCCATCCTTCGGAAAAAACTAATTAACGTTTTCTACCGGAGTTACTGTTCACATATGTTTCGACGTTGTCAGATCATTTGCTTACAACAAACAACCTTGGTAGATTTTAGTTGAGTGAGTAGTATTGTTTGCTTCGCTACTCACATGTCCAGCTTATTTTTGTCTGACTATAAAAATACCGAATCATACTTCATCGTAATGAGTTGGCTCATTCGCTTTCACCACCCAGTTTTGCTTTGTCTTTACGCTTCGTGTCTGTCTGAGCAAACGATTGCATACAATAAACTTGCCTGACTGTAACCGTATTTAGCTTCTTATTACTGTCAGCGCACAAACAGAGTTCGTCTAAGTATGATATACGGAAACAGAACTTACTTACTTACTTACTTACGCCTGTTACACCCAATGGAGCATAGGCCGCCAACCAGTTTTCTCTAACGAACTCTGTCCTGGGCTTCCCTTTCTAGTTCTGTCCAATTTTTGTTCGTTCTTCTCATATCTTTCTCTATTTCTCGGCGTAGTGTGTTCCTTGGCCTTCCTCTTTTCCTTTTAACTTGAGGGTTCCATGTGAGGGCTTGTCTTGTGACTCAGTTAGGTGCTTTCCGCAGTGTGTGTCCTATCCACTTCCACCGCTTCTTCCTGATTTCCTCCTCCACTTGAATCTGACTTGTTCTCTCCCACAGTTCGTTGTTGCTGATGGTGTCTGGCCAACGAATCCGAAGTATTTTGCGTAGACAGCTGTTAATAAACACTTGTATCCTCTGGATGATGGCTTTCGTAGTTCTCCAAGTTTCAGCTCCATACAGTAGAACTGTCTTGACATTTGTATTGAAAATCCTGATTTTGGTTTTGGTTGAAAGTTGTTTGGAGTTCTAGATATTTTTCAACTGTAGAAATGCAGCATTTGCTTTGCCAATCCACGCCCTCACATCTGCATCGGATCCACCTTTCTCGTCGATGATGCTGCCCAGATATGTAAAGGTGTTAACGTCCTCCAAGGCATCTCCATCAGGATTGATTTGGTTGGTGCATGTTGTGTTGCATCAGAGAAGTTTGCTTTTTCCTTTATGTATATTGAGACCTACTGCTGAAGAGGCTGCTGCTACACTGGTCGTCTTCTCTTGCATCTGTTGTTGCGTGTGAGATAGAAGAGCCAAGTCATCTGCGAAGTCCAGATCGTCCAGTTGCGTCCTAACTGTGCAGTCGATACCGTGCTTCCCTCCAGATGTTGACGTTTTCATAATGCAGTCGATGACCAGGAGAAAGAGAAAAGGTGAGAGTAAGCAACCTTGCCTGACACCGGTCTTCACCTCGAAAAAGTCTGTTAGCTGTCCTCCGTGCACGATTTTGCAGTTGAATCCATCATAAGAATTCCGTATAATGTTAACTATTTTCTCAGGCACACCGTAGTACCGAAGAAGCCTCCACAGTGTTTTTCTATCCGCCAGTAGAACCTTCGGGGCTACTGCCGGTCCCAAGCCCGGGTAAAGGAGGAGGGTTGGACATGGGGTTGGCGACCCCATTCCGTCAAAAACTAACTTGCCAAAAAAACGCTAACCAGAAAAACTAATACGGAAACAGAGAGTGACACTTATTTCATGACAATGATTCCCACTATGAATTTAACGCAAACACTAAGAGAAATTGAAAAATTTAAAATTACTTGTTTAAATTTAAGTATTAAATCAACAATAAGTTTGGGTGATATTGAATACATTTCTTTCGTACAAATAGTCTTGATTTTAATTTGTACAGTGAAGGTGCTTCAGCAAGATTGTATGTAGCAGGCGGTAACATCTTATAGTTGACAGTAAACGATTAATCCTGCCGGACAGTATCGCCTGTCATGATAAAATGTTTGTGGATGGAATTACCAGTATAATCAATGATTGGCTCTCTCTCTCTCTCTCTTAGCCTCTCCTTCACAAAATGTCCATTGGCTGACCATGAACAAATGAAACACTAAATTTTCCTAGAAAACACCATCCTCATATTTACCGTTGTAGAAAGTTGTCGATTTCAGGGTTATATGTAGGTTTTTCGATGTAAACATCTTTGTAAGACAAACCATTGTTTGTACTCATCAATTAAGAGCTAATAAACTTGATATTTTGTATGATAAACAACCCTTTTATTATCTACTGTAATAAATCTAATTTGAATGATGATTTTTATGAATATTCTGAATTTGTCTACCTGTTAATTCAATTTACCTTTGAAGAGGAGCATGAACTATGCTTCACAACTCCATTAATATTGAGAACAAGAATTATTTGGCATAATCAGTCAGTCAATAAAAATATAGAACTTCATACGTACGTACATCAGTTCAAGTTGTCATACCACCTTAGCACAGAGATGCAATTGTCACTTCGAATCCCATAGTAGTAGGGGGATAGTAGAAGTATTAGCAGCAGTAATCTTAGAAGTAGAATCTAGTGAAATAAGCTTAAAAAGAAAAAGACAAAGGCGATGAGGAATTCAGAGGGTTGAGATTTAAGAGAACTCAAAGAATGAATGCATCCGCACCATTACAAACGGTTTTGAGCCATGTTATTAAGGGTCTCTAAGCATCAATTACTAACATCTCGCGGGCCTCGACCCGGTAGTCGACATCTACCAACATGGCTCAGTCCATTTGTCAGTGTTTTCATGGAGTTGTGCCATGTTTTCGTTTGGCCGCCCCTAGCTTTCTTCCAACCTAATCCTACAGCACAAAACATAACTGGACGAAGCAGTCGAGATGGTTAGGAATAGGCAACACATGTCCCAACCACCTCGACCAAGTATAGGAAGACTGGTCATTGAATATTAGTCATAAACCACCGAACAACTAATCATGAAAATAAACTACTTGATCAGTAGTTCAAAGTAATTTGTGAAAATTTTGATAGAAATTTGAATTATGATTATGAATTGCATAAAGGATTACAATACACAACTTGCATAGAAAATCAAGTAACTCATTAAAGAATCCTATGACATTCGATTACATGGAATAATTTCAGATGCCCTCAAAAACCCTAGTACGGCTGAGAGTGTGGCGAGTCTTCTCCCTATCTCGAAATTCTCTCACATGGCCACACTCATATCAACACCAATAGAGAAGTCCAATTCACTATCTTCTCTTGGTACATGTATCGTTCATGAAATCAAGAGGACTAAAGTGAATGTCCAGTCAGGGCTTAAACAGGGTTAGTAAGTAGAGAGAATCTATATGAGACAGTTGGTAAACCCTCATTCTAAACTAATGGTGCACATGTACTGCCGGATAATGATGGAACGAACAAAGAGAGTATGAACCTATTTTTGATGACCGACTATCATATGATTGAATATCCTAAATTTGTTCCACTACCTTGAAGATTGAACCTTTGTGAGTGGTGTCCGAAAGAAAACTGACTGTTTAAGTTTGGACAACCAATACAGTATCTCAGTATACATACAAATTCAATTATTTGTGTGGCTCGTAGGAAGATTTATTTCTCGAAAGGATACATGGAGTGGATTATACACGTAAACTTCAATGGTTTCCAGCCAACAAAAAACTACAAAATAGCATTGGTTAGTACACTTTTTTAATCGTGTCATAAGATGAAATTGACTTGGGGATTAGCCATAGTTGAACGTTGTTTACATGATATTGGTTACCATCAAAGTATAGGAAAACTAAAGCAAAGGAATTGGAGCACAGTTTTGGAGGTTTGCGTTTTTACACATTTGAAATCATTAATCAATCATCATCGCGCAAAATCCCTAGATCAATCAGAGTTAGACATTAACACCGTTGGATGCCGGCCCAGTGGTCCGATGGTAAGGCGTTCGCCTACAATGCCAAAGGTCCCGGGTTCGAATCCTGCGAGGAGCAGGAGTCGTGGATGCACACTGCTGAGGAGTCCCATACTAGGACGAAACGGCCGTCCAGTGCTTCCAGGTTTCTAATGGTGGTCTAACCAATGATTGATTAATGATTTCAAATGTGTAAAGGAATTGGAGTATGCTACAGTTAAGAAGAAGCCTGTCTTCCTGATACTTGGCATTAAGGTTGATCAAGCATCAGGAAAGATTGGTTCCACATTACAAACCGTACAACGGCTTGCTAAAGCGATTACCATAAGAAGATTGAAACCAGATTTGTGTATTTTAAAAAAGAATCAGTAATCAATCTTGATTTGTCGTGATGACTTCATTCCTAAGTGTCTGTTACATAATCTCTTTCTTTTATGACTCTAATGATTAATTCACATTTCTTAGTTGATCTGTACACAGTCAATTTTGTTTTAAGAGTTACATAACTCTATAACATGAATAATTATTGTTCTATGCTCTTAGTTATTCATTTCAGAATATTCTTATATTAAACCGACGAAATATTCATGCTATTTAGCAGTCAGTCAATCGTGGACGAACTGACCTCATGCATTGGTAAATGTATGAAGACAGTTGTCACTTCCTAACTGCCCACATCGTGCAAGGGTAGTTTATGAGGGACTTGAAAGAAAAACTGGGTTAGCGTTGATATTGGTGACCCGAGAGCTTGATTGCAGAGCCCAAGGGACAACTACTTGAAGCCGGACACACATGGTCTTTTTCTGGGAACTTTTATCGTGTTAGCTCCGTTCTTCGAAAGGTCTCAACGCCGGAAACGGAAATTCTTAGATTAAGGGGTAACAATCCTAGCGTCTAGCTTTTCTAACTGCTTCCTTTCATCGTGAAATGGCAGCATCGCTGCAGATGCTGGTTGTTCAAGACAGACACTTCACTGTTGTCACATTCCTTTAGAGTTGGCAGTAAGACTTCACCCTCAGATCTAAGGATGGTGTCTTTAATCTCACCGTTACTGAACCTTCACGGTGCAGGCAGCCGGGAAGTGACAACCGCCCTCATACCCGTAACAGAACACGTCAGTCAGTCAGATGCAACGTAGAACTTCATACGTACGTAAGTACATCAGTTCATGTCGCCATACCACATCAGCACAGAGATATAATTGTCAATTCAAATCCAATAGTAGTAGAAGAGGTAGTAAAGGTATTAGAAGTAATCGGAGAGGTTACGATTAGAACATATTATTCAAGAAGTATGATTAAATCAGAAAAGTTTAGAAAGTCAAAACTAGAGGTGTTGAAGAATCCAGAAGATTAGGATTTGAGAGAACGCAGAGAATAAATGCACCGACGCCATTGCGAACGATTTTGAGCCATGTCATTCAAGGTCTCTAACCATCGATTATTATCATCTCGCGGAACCCAACCAAGCAGTCGACAACTACCGACATGACTCAGTCCACTTATCATTTGTGCCAGAACACGAAACCGAATTGGTCACAATCAAATTAAACGTATGCCCAATCACCGACTGCCTCGGCGAGAGATGTTTTGTGGTGTGGGAGTAGGTTGGAAGAAAGCTAGGGGCGGCGAAAACAAAACATGGCACAAATCCATGAAGACATTGACTACTGGACAGAGCCATGTAAGTAAATGTAGACTACCTGATTGGAGTCCGCGAGATGGTAATAACCGATGGTTAGAGACCTCGAACGATATGGCTCAAGATCGTTTACAACGGCGTAGGTGCATCCACTCTTTGTGCTCTCTCAAATCTAATCTTCCGAATTCCTTACGACCTCTATCTTTCTCTTTTTAAATTTAGTTCACCGAATTATACTTCTCAAATAATTTCTTCTTTTACATCTACTATCTCTACAACTATGGGATTTGAATCAACAATTGTGTGTCTGTACTAATGTGGTATGGCAACCTGAACTTATATACATATGTACCAAGTTCTGCGTTGTAAGTGACTGATTGAATGACTGACTAATTGACTGTTCCTCAACCGATATGGCTGGCATGGTAAGAATCTAAAAGCAAGTATTTTCCAGCCAACATAGCTCGGCTAGGTGATCATCAGAAAAGGCAAGCCCAACCCCACATTACGTTAAGGTAACAGCAACAGTTGAGTTTCCTACTTATGAGGATTTTCCCGAGACTATGATATAAAGTATGTACGCTTTATATATTAATTTTAATAATTAATACTATTTATGTGTAAGCTATTATCTCAACAAAAAACTGTCAAATAAAATTGAGAAAATCATATCAATCCACCTGCTAAATAGATTGATAGATAGATAGACAGATACAACTCAGAACTTCGTACATGAGTACATCAGTTCAGGTTGCCATACCACATCAGCACATAGACGCAACTGTCAGTTCAAATCCAAGAGTGATAGCGATAGTAGAAGTGTAGTGAAAGAGAACATAGGTGATGGCGACCGAATTGTATTTAACGAAAATTACAGAGTTACTCAGTAAAATTGGAAAACCATATCGTAAATCGTTCATTTGCAAATTATCAGTTCATCATATCGAACTGGACTGTTCCTGTTGCCGAACATCAATCCATTGTCACTACTATTCATGCGTTTCATACAAATTCCATTGTTTTCTAACTCTTCCTTTCTTGATCTCTCCCCATCTTCCGCTGCCAGACATTACGTTGACACTCACGTCATATACTACTTATAAGTAGCTCACACCACAGAAGTATTAGCAGTAATGGAGAAGAATAGGGAGTGAAGATATAATTCGAAAAGTATAATTCAGTAAGGTAAATTTCGAAGGAGAAAGATAGAGATAATGAGGAATTCAGAAGGTTAGAATTAGAGAGAACACAAAGAGTGGATGCACCTGCGCCATTGTAAACGATTCTGAGCCATGTCATTCAAGGTCTCTAACCATCGGTGACTTTCGTCTCGCGGAACCTGACCAGGCAGCCTACATCTACCAACATGATTCAGTACACTTGTCAGTGACTTCATGCATTTCTGCCATGTTTTGTTTTGGTCGCCCCTAGATTTCTTCCAACCTATTCCTACTACACTACAAACCATAGCTCGAGGCAGTCGGTGGTTAGTTATACGTAACACATGTGTCCCAACCGCCTCAACTGATGAACTATCACTACTTCATCGATTGATTTGCCACCATCCCCCTACCTAACGACAGTTAAAAACAAAATCAAACAAACAAAAAAAGAAAATACCAATATCTTCCCGTTAAATACCAAATGTATTCATTAAACAAAACATAATACGACATGTACAATAAATGATAATACTAAGAAAAATTGCATTTGCTAAACATGTCAATTCATAACATACATCTTTCCATGTTTCTAATCGACCAAATAATAAGCATAATATAAAATGAATGAGACCGGTACGTCGTTTACGTTTCAATGAAGAATGTGATGATTTACGCTTAGCCGCCACCGCCAATGAATGCATGAATGAATAATCATCCGACACAGGATCATGATGATGATGATGATGACATTGATCAGCATGATGATAATCCATCGTAGGATCATGTTTTAATTTACATGGATTATTTCTATAGGATAATACACTTAATGTATCTTCTTCGTTGCATGGATACGACTGGAGTTGCATGTTCTGGTGGTGTTGTTTCATTCTGTTGTTGTTGTTGAAATGATTGGATGATATGAATGAATGCGGAGAATGAGTAGTGGAATAACGTTGTGAATCAATGATACTACTACTACTACAACTACTACAACTATTACTTCGTGGTGATGATGTTTGACTATGATGATTAGTGGTCAGCACAGATGGTCGAAATACAGTTTGATTAGAATAATTCGATGTGGTGTATAATTTCGTCGCAGCTAATTGATCTTCCAATGATTTTCTACTGGAATTTAATGATTGACAATTACTACTTGGTGTGGAATAATAACTCATAGTATTATCATCGCCATCATTGATAGATCGAGAAGTTGTGAATGTGATGTTATTACTACTATTATTATTATTAGTAGTAGTATTAGTAGTAGTATGAATAGGCCATTTCGTTTTCAATTGTTTTTGTTGTGATAAAAAATCTTTCAAAAAAAATGACAACCATATTTTAGTTCCATAAGCGATCACAATAAACAATAGGAAAATCAGAATCACACTGAAACATGCTACATGTATGATCAATGAATTATTGGATAGAATCAGCTTCATCAGCTTACTATCCATAGTCAATATGGACGGTAAGAGAATATTGATCGAGATTAAAAGCATGGAAATATCATACAGCAAGATTAATGATTTCAAACCATCATGATACATGGAATAATGACGATGACGACGGCGACAACGAGAATAATAAGGCTGCTGCTGCTGGCTACGAATTCGCCAACCAGTTCTAATTACAATAAGGAATTGTAAACAAAATAGTAAACAAGTGAACCACATTTGACCAGTGATTGATAAAGAAAAATGCTGTGCATAGATTATCATTAGTGGACAATATTGACGTGAATAATGTCGACATTGATTAGACCAAAATAATTCAATAAATTTATACAAATGTGATTGATTAGTCGGTATTTGAATAAGACATGTTTGTTTAGTGATTTCTGTGAGAAATGGACCAGTAATAATGCTTACAAAACACAAAATACTTATGATACGTAAAATGACAAACAATTCAAACCATGCTGCCAGCCCTTGTGGACGATGAGTTGTTTTCAATGAAGTGGGATTTTTCATTGTAGACATGGTTCGGTGTTTATTATTGCTGTTATGATTATGCCACCATGCAATGAAACTTGGCAATAATTTACAATCCAACTGTTTAAACAAGAAAAAAAAAAGAGGGAATAATAATAATGCAAGGCAAGTTAATTGATCATTATTAGAAGAAACCTACTAAATTTAACTAGAGAATATAAGTCAGTCAGTCAGTCAGTCAGATGCAACGTAGAACTTCATACGTACGTAAGTACATCAGTTCATGTCGCCATACTACATCAGCACAGAGATGTAATTGTCAATTCAAATTCAATAGTAGTAGAAGAGGTAGTAAAGGTATTAGAAGTAATCGGAGAGGTTAGGATTAGAAGATATTATTATTCAAAAAGTATGATTCAGTGAGAAAAGTTTAGAGAGTCAAAACTAGTGGAGTTGAAGAATCCAGGAGATTAGGATTTGAGAAAACACAAAGCATAAATGCACCAGCGTCATTGCGAACGATTTTGAGCCATGTCGTTCAAGGTCTCTAACCATCGATTATTATCATCTCGCGGACCCCAACCAGGTAGTCGACAACTACCAACATGACTCAGTCCACTTGTCAATGACTGCATGCATTTCTGCCATATATACGAGCAATGCTTCGAAGACACCTATGATCGAAAACCAGTAACCTACGAATATCTTCTACTCTTACTGGCCATAAAGTAAGACGGAGCGAACTACTGCGCAGTATAAGTGAGAAATTGTCAAGACACACAATTGAACAACTTAAAACTTGTGTGAGGTTATCAAATATACGTAAATTATCTAGCCCAAACTGGATCCTGAGGAAAATGTATTACTCGGAAACAATCGGGGGGCAATCTTGACAGCAGAAAGACCGAGAAAGTGTAAACGAGATGATTCGGTAGGGAACTTAACTAGTCAACGTTTTATGAGCTGATTTCAATCCGTTTTCTTTAAGAAGTATAATCTGAGTTGACGGGTGTTTACGATTTTCGTATCTACCCTTTTGAAGCTAAACCATCTCCAGATTTGATTGCAATACACAATCACGTACATGTCGAGGTGACTTAAACTGTGAGTGGTTTGAGTGAAGATGAGTGTATTGTTAGAAGTTACTCGACCATCTGAAGAGTACCGAAACGATGCTATCTATGCAATGTTCCGAAATAATAGAGTTGTTGTCGAGATGTCGAGCACAGACCCACTCAACACCTTTCGACTCAGCAAGCGTGGGTTATTTCGATCTATTGTACACCAAAATGGAGAAAGCAGTTAGAAACGGTAAGGCCGTTTCTTCACTGAGTTGTGAATATGGAAATGGCTTATTCTCTAAACACGGATTCATTTTACTGCACCTGAACTACAAAGGTTTATTATCAGAAGAGGAGGCCCGAGGGGCATTTGCAGCGATAATGGTTTGAATTTTAGGGAGTTCACATGCTAGTTTGATGTAAATTATTTGCTCTTTCTTTATATCAAAACAAATGTTACTCGTTAACAATATTGAAGCAGGCAGGAGTGTATGTTCCAAAGTTATCACTTGGCAAATAAGCTACTAGGGTGACGGACGCTTCGGAACAGTGAAGTTGAGGACAGCAGACGAAGGAATTATATTCGGAATGTACGTAACTAATTTCTATTTGGGGAAGCCAGTTGCTTTTTATCGACGGCGACGAATCAGAACAATTTTTGTATACAAACGGTGTTAATATACATTTTAGAAACAGATAGTTTATCAGACTTGAGAGCATACTTGTTCTGACTTTAGCTTAGACATTGGGTTAGAATTGTTTCTGTGAGTAATTACTTCCTACTACTGTTAAAACTTATCAATCATTAAACATAGTTGTTCAGTTAAAAGATCAGATTATCTAGATTGGAGATGAAAATGTATGTGTGCATATGAGAATTGATTAGCATTTGTCGAAATATGCAGGCTCCAATGTAAAACATCTCTCGTGTACAGTTATTCTGGTTGAGCCTTTTGCCTAATTTATTTAACAGTCATCCGAATAGTCATAGTTTGCCTATAACTTTGTATTACGATTATTATTGTTTGTATGAGTGTGTATGATTGATCACTTGTTACACAACCTATACACATATTCTTTTTACTAACTTAAATGTTAGTTGCTTATATTACTCGATCACTTGTTTGCTTTTCGAAAGATATATGTATGCTTCTTAAATGCCAGTCATTGGTTCAGTACATTCGTTTGCATTCTTTCACATTCCGTTCATTCACATATTCACTTCATGTGCTTGTGGC